GTTCATAAAGACCATAAAGTTCATAAAGTGCAAGTTCCTGCATATGGATTGGGGCAATCCCAAGCACAAATACAGCCTGGCCGGAGAATTCCTTTTGAGCAACCCTGAGGAGAATGACCTGGGGGTCTTACTTGATGAAAACTTCAACACAAGCTGGCAATATGCTCTTGCAGCCCAGAAAGCCAACCATATCCTGGGCTGCATCAAAAAAAGTGTGGCCAACAGGTCAAGGGAGGTGATTGTCTCCCTCCTCTCTGCTCTTATGAGACCCCACCTGGAGTACCGCATTCACCTCTGGGGCCCTCAGCACAAGAAAGACATGGAAGTATTAGAACAAGTCTAGAGAAGGGCCACAAAGACAGTCAAAGAGCTGGAGCACTGTGGTGGTTTTACCGTGCTGGGCAGCTAAACCCCACAACCGCTCTCTCACTCCCCCTCTTTTAGATGAGGAGGGGGAGAAGTAAAGCAAAGAACAACTCACGGGTTGAGATAAGGATAATTTAATTAAAGGGAAATAATAATAACAATTAAATAAAGATTATTATGAACTAAACAATTTAACTAAAGAGAAATAAAAGGGGAAGGGGAAAAAGGGAGAGGGAAAGGGAAAAATAAGAAGGGAGGAAAACAAACAAATAAAATAAATGAAGGCTATATGGAAGTCCAGAGGAAATAATTTACTCTCTACTTCCCACAAATGAGCGATGATTGACCACGTCCTTGAAGCAGGGCCTCAATTCACGTAGCCGGTGTTCGAGAGGTGGACCGACGTTTTCCCAACGAGAGCCCACCCCTCCCCTCTTCTTCCTGTTTCCACCTTTTATTGCTGAGTGTGACATCACATGGTATGGAATATCCCTTTGATTGGTTTAGGTCAGCTGCCCTAGTGATGTTTCTCTCCTCACTTTTTGCCCACCCCCTGGGAGGGTTAGAGAGAGGCCCAATGCTGTGCCACTGCTGCTCAGCAGCAGACACAACACTGGTGTGATAACACTGCTGTTCCAGCTACAAGTACAGAGTGCGGCACTGTATGGGCTGCTGCCAGGAATGTTAACATTCCAGCCAGACCCAGTACAAGCACCACTTCTATGAAGAGAGGCTAAGGGAGTTGGGGTTGTTCAGCCTGAAGAAGAGAAGGATCTGGCCTCATTGAAGCCTTCCAACACCTAAAGAGAGATTATAAAAAAGTTGGAGAGTGACTTTTTACTCAGGCAGATAGGAGAAGGGGGGATGCTTTTAAACTAAAAGAGGGGAGATTTAAACTCAATGTTAGGAACAAATTCTTGACTCAATGAGTGGTGAGGTACAGGAACAGATTGCCCTGAGAATTTGTGGATGTCCCATCCCTGGAGGTGTTCAAGAACAGGTTGGATGGAATTCTGGGCAACCTGCTGTAGCAGAAGGTGTCCCTGCCTATGGACCAAATTTGGAACATCTTTAAAAAAAATACTGTGAAAAATATTTTTTTCTCTAAGAAGTAAAAATGATTATAAACAAAGTTTATTTGACATTTTGTTATGTATTGGGCTTATGTGACAAGATTTTAGTTGTTTGTGGTTGAGGATGTAGGGGTGACATCTGTGAGGAGTCCAGAAGTCTTACCCATGTTAGGTAAGAGCCAGTTCCAGCTGGCTCCAAAAGGGACCTATCATTGTCCAAAACTGAGCCAGTGAATGATGATGGTTGTGCCTCTGTGAGAACATTTTTTAAGGGGAAATAACACCATGCAACAGCATCTGGGAGAGTGGAGTACAAAATGACACTTTGGTCAGTGAAGAAGAAAGGGGAAGAGGTGCTACAGGCGCTGGAGCAGAAGTTCTTTTACAGCCCATGGAAAAGACTTCAGTGAAACAGGCTGTCTCTTTGCAGCTCATGGGAACCCCATATAGGATCAGTTTGGGAAGGACTGCATCCCATGGCAGGGACCCCATGGTGGAGAAGAAGTATACATTTTCCAAGCAATTATTCTATCATAAACTTCTCTGTTGGCTTGTTTTTTCTGTTAGGAAATTTTTTTCTCTCTCTTGCTTGAAGCTACTTAGACTCAAGCAAATTATGTTCTCACTATTATTCTGTTAGCCTTCAAAAGGAACTTCCTTTGATGAAGTTCAGCAAAAGTAACCATATTCATTCTACTGTATTTGGCATGAGGTCTATAACAACCATATTCTACAAAATTGATCTTTTGTGCTGTTTCAAACCACTATTCCAAGAGATAAGCTGGATATTTTTGTAAACTTGGGGAGATGACATCCATAGCTTTCAGATACTGTGTCTCTACTTGAACAAATAGTTTCATATCTTCCTGTTCAGAGATGTGTTAGTGACTAGCTTCCCAAAGAGGCATGAGCTTGTGAAATCATTACACTACAGTTTTCCAAGCACCTGGCAAGTTACTTTTGCATTATTGACTCTAAAAAGATATTACTAAATTTCATATCCCTAAGCATTTTCCATAATCATGAAATAATATATATCTCTGTAGATTTAGTTATGCCAAAAGATCCTTTAACAATCCTGAAATTCATTTTTTCCTGTAGAAATTAGATTAATTGTAACATACTAACTAATTAACATTGTGTGCAGCTTTGTAAGATTTTTTGCCTTCAACAGAGCAATATATTTCACAAAAACTGAAAGGTACTGTAGAAATGCTTTTTCATAATGTTTCCCTTGAAACATGTGTGAAGTATGCCTTCTTTTAGCAGAGGCAACCCAATCTACTTTGTCTGAGACTATACAGTTAACATACAGAATACAAAATTTCTGTAAATATTAGCTCTTGCCTCTGGATAGAATTTTATTGGTAATGCCCAAACAAAGGAATAATCTCTTATTCTTAGCTGTGCTGTGAAAGTTCCAGATGATGTGTTGTTTTATTTTAATTTATTTTACGAAATCTTAATTTATATTTTATTTTATGTTCTATTTCCTTTTATGAAGGCCTTAACTGTTTTACTGAGCTTATTTTACATGTAGTTCCTTTTGCAAAGTTTACCACTGTTTCAAGTCTTCTTCCACCTCCTTCGGTAATCTATGATTCCTGCAGATATGTCCTCTACTTGTTTTGATTTTATTCAAGAAAATTGTCAGCTGACATATCCTTTTGTACAACACCACTATTTCTCTTGATCCAGATAACTTAAGAGATGAATAATGTCTTTGATATGAGCCAAAGTTAATGAGGAAATAATGTACATGTAGTGCCTGTTCTCCCTGAAAAAAAGTAGGATACAAAGCCCAAAAGACAGTCTACCTACTGTTTTATCTGCTTGTATCCAATACTTCTTCCTCTGAAACTTAACTGGTCATTCTAGAAGTCTTTATCTTTTATCTAGAAGTGGCTTTATCTTTGCTTTTCATCTGCTTTCTCTGGTGTTTATACTGCTTCTCTGATTTATGCATAAGGAAAAGCAGTTAAAAACAGCCTGGCCTTTCAGTTTCCTATCACTTGGGAACTTCCACGGACACTTTCATTACTTGGGCATGTTTCATATACTTCAAAAGTTTTCAAGCAGCCTATTCAAGGATTTTAAACTTAGTAAAATTTAATTTTCCTCATACTAAGTCTAATTGGAAGATGTTTTTCATCTTCAAAATAAAATGGAAACATGTTTTATGCTTCAGAAAATATTAAATGCCAAAATAACAATGGAACTCAAGTCTAGTCCTGTCTGGCACTTACATGGCTATAGCAGATATTCAACTATATAAGAAGCCATAATAGAGCAAGATGGAAAAAAATACTATATCAATTAAAATTACTTTCCTAACAACTAATTGTTCAAAGACAGAATGGACAGAATCATAATTTCTTCAGATGTCCACTTCATAACTAACTATACTGAAATCACTAAAAGTATAAAGATGCTGTTAAGGTTGCAGTAAGTATCTACAACATACAGGAAGACCTATCTTTGGTATTACTAGATAACTCTTTATGCAAGATATTCCAGTAATTAATGTTTATTTCTTAACCTTCATTATCATATTCTTAACTTAAAGTATTAGACTCATTAGACTCCACTTCACCTACACAATGGTTTATTGTGTACTATTAACACAGATAAAATCAATAATAAGTGTGAGACGTATTTGAGAGAAAACATAAAACATATTTATACCAACAACAAAATGATAAATTCTCCTTAAAAATAAATTTAAAACAAGACAAGTATTGGCCTTGAAAAAAAAAAGTTAGTGGAAAAATATTACAATATTAATTAGGAACACTGAGCAATACTGACAGACCCTTTGTCAGTACTTTCGTAATTAACACAGTTTAGCATTTTCCTATCTTTTCCAAAATCTAAAGCCGGATCCTCAACACATGTCCTTCAACAATCACTGCAGACAGTGGGAACCCAGAACCTCATTACATGTTGAATTCCACCCTGTGGATTCTAGAAACCAAACAAGTGTCTGCTGTTGGCTCCTAATCTTGACAAGATTCCAAATTTGCTCTACAAAAGCATATTCCATAAAGTTAATTCAGTAGTTCTTTTTTCTGTGGATTATACATGACATATACATTAAACTATGTAATCTTTCCTCTTATTTTAAGAACTTAAGCGTTTATCCCTCTCTCTACAGAAGCTTTGTATTATGTGCATTTATTTCTGCGAGCTTTATACGAATAGCACTTAATTCTCTAAAGAGATAGATCAATGTTAAAAAAACATGATGAAAGGATGTGGAAAGTAATTTTGTTGTTGTTGAGCAACATGCAAGAGAAGCAAGGCATGATGTATGAGAAACATCATATGAAAATGTTCAATTTCATCTAAGGTAACTATATATATATTTATTTTTTTCTGTATAGAAAATGAAATACAATTCATAATTATCGATAAAAGATGTAGTATCTTTCCTTAGGTAGGAAAAAGAGAATGAGAGAATGCTAGTAATGTAGAGAAAGCAATAGTATATTGGAGCTTTTCTATACTACTACAGCAGCTGAGATTAATGAACAGAGAACAAATGGTTGACGTATCACCTACCCATGGGAGTTCCAACACCGTAACCTTTTGAGTCTATCAGGCCTCCAATCTGTGTTAGGTTACAGTTCCGCTGTGTGACAAACTCAATGGTTGTTGACTCCATTAAAAATGCATAATCAGAGGTAAGTACACGCTGGATACCTTCTTCGTTGCTTTTAACAAGTACTGACTGCCTCCTGCTACTCATGAAGGCCCACATCTTGTCATAAGTGGAGATTTTGGATTTCTGAAAGATAAATATTAGACACAACAGTAATAAGAATAAACCACTTTTAAGAATGAATGCAAATTCTCAATTTACAAATTTCTCTCATCACATTTTACTACATGTCAGGTTTTACCATGGGATGCCTCTAAGAGTGTCTGTATCTTTCATCTCATCTGTGGAAAACAAAGCAGCTAGACAGATTCTCACAAAAATGTTCATCTGCTTATCATTGTTTATATGTTGTTATTTGTCTAGGATGAAGGCCTACAAGTATTTGAAGTCAGTGGAAAACTATTAAGGATTTAACTGTAGCCCAGTTCATCAACAATGTTGGTGAGTTTTATAGGATTTGTTGGATTCTGGCACGCTTAAAATTATCATGCTTATTTCAATCATTCCGCTACTCCTGAGCATTTCTAAAAACCTAATGCACAGTGTAGCAACCTGAAGTAATCAAAGCACTTACAAAAGGCAAATTATGGAAAAAACAATTATGAGGGAGAGGGCAATAACCGTTTTATCCATCACACAGTGGATACTTGGAGAAGGATTTTAACTAAAAGATAGTATCACACTGGTCATACTAATAGTAGTTTGTCATTGACAAATTGACAGCTAGAAGTCCTAAAGGTGAATACATTTAATATTCCTTTTTGCTTTAATTTAAATATTGCTTTAATATTCCCTGAATGCAAAGCACTATTGTGTTATAGAGAAGAGAGAGGACTGGGACAAAGGAGACAATACTTTGGCAAAAGTATTAAACGAACGAACAAACAACAACAACAAAACTTCCCTCACCTTTGTAAAAGACTATGTGTAAGAGATGATAACTACTGGATAAAGTGAAAACATTGACTGACCATTTCATATTACATTTGTAATATGAATATTACATCTGCTTAACAAAGTTTCAAACTCAGATGTATCAGAAAATGTTCAGACATGTTAATTCTTGCTCAGTAAATAAGATGTGGAGATACAGTCTGAGGACTCATAAAACTGGACTTTTTGAGGCATCTTTCATCTTTTAATGTCAGCCTTAAATATAACTGCCTTCAGCTCTGGTGGAGATACTTACCAAGATAGGCACTACAAATCTTTCTGAAGTTCAGCTCATTGGCAGCCATAATTTCTGCCCAAATGAGAATTAGCAGTGTATGTGGAATAAAAAGAGCATTTAGAAAAACAGATGACTTTGTCCCCCTGTTGAGATACAGTCCAAGACTTATTTCAGTTTGCCTGGGGACTTAGCAAATCAAGAATTTTAATGAACTCTAGTGTCAATGCTAACAAAACTGAAGATTTCTAGGACTCTACATTAACTCAATGACTCTGTACAGAACAAGATAAGCAACTGATTGCAAAAGATTTTAGTAACAACAAAAGAGGAGATCACCTTACTTCAAAATATACTGTGAATGCACAGAATTAAGAAGACCAAACAGGCATGGTCACTCTTCACTGGGCTTGTTTTGACAAATAATTCTTTGAAGCACTTAATACTGTACTGCAGCATAAAATACTTCAAGCAATACACATCAGCCCTGCAGGAATCTAAATCACTATGTAATGCAGAAAAGATGGAAAATGAATGTTTTCCAATATTTGTAAAATTTTGCCAAGAGCCCATATTATCATATCTTTTGCCATACAATCTTTACCCCGGTGAAAAAAAAAAAAAAAAAAAAAAAAAAAGATTGCCAGGATAAAAACATGTTAGCAAGGGGAAAGATTGCTCTCTACTGAAGCATTACAGCAAGTGAAAAAAGACAATACCCTCTAAAGGACAGAATGTGCTCATATTATGATGACTGATTTAATCAGCTAGGATGATGCCTCAGCTTCTACTGAAAAAGAAGGAACAAAAGTCACAAACAAAATAAGAGAAAACTTCTGCATAGTATAGCATAGCTACTGTAATATTAAAAAAAAAAAAAAAAAAGTATTAACATGATATACTGAGACTCTAGATAACACAAAGACTAAAAAAAGTGCACATGAATCTCCACTGTGAAGCTATCGAGGGTGATAGAAAGTGCAAAGTAATCTCTGTTTTGTTATGTAAGCAAAATGCTACAATATCTTTGCACTGATTTCTTCCATCCCTAAAAGCTAAAGGGCAGAACAGAAAAGATGCTAAGGAAAAGAGCCCATGTATTTGTGACCACTAGATCTTATGTTGTGGTCAAAAATTCTTACCAAAAAAAATGTAATAAAAGTTATGAGATTTGTTTTATGCACAAGAGAGAATGCTTATATGAGAAAACAAAACTAAAATTTTGATTCATGAAAATATAAATACAAATGGTTTTCCTCTCTTTTTGGCAAACTACTCATCAGACTCAGCTGACTAAACTCAAGAAGCCAGAACAATCAAAAGCATCTTGAGCCCATCTGACATTGAAATAAAGAGAATGACACTGATATGTACATAATGGTTCTGGTGGTTATGACTGTGTCATTCATAGTGATGGAAGCAGATGCTGCAATTTACCTTATGTTTCCATCTTCTTTCATTGTGTGCAAATAAATCCAGTTAATCAAATTATATACTCTATCACGGAAGTGTATTATATATCTGGGTTAGTTCACCATATTGTTTCATCTCACTGGAAATCCAACCTAACTCGAAATCAACTGGAAATGATGTCTGCATAAGATAACCTGTGATGACATGATTTATCATGCTTGTGTTCCCTCAGTAATGCTGAAGACAATGCAGAACAGTAAGAAAGCTGCCTTGAAACATTTGAATTTCACTGGAAGGAAAAAAAAAAAAAAGAGAGAGAGAGAGAACTAACATGGAATTTGGACATGAAAAGGTTAAACAAATCAAGGAATTCATGTAGCTTGTGCATAAAATAGATGTTCTCACAGTGACATTCAGAGGATACTGTCAGTGACATACTCAGCATTCATACATTAAAGATTATTGGAAGATAACTGTGCACGTCAAGGATCACAAAAGGAAGTATGGCAAAAGCTTTAAGTTAGTCTGATGCTATGTATATGTTTGAAGCTAGAAACAAGAGGAATCGTTGTTGGTAATATGTTAATTTTCTGTCCTAAAGTACTGGCTAGGAAAGACAAAGATCTGAATAGTCAGACTCTTGAGCACAAAGTTAGAAAAATATCAGGATGTTGGATGAATGCCAAAATAAACTAGGATTAAAGGACAGGGAAGCGGACCTCATGATACAAGACAAGACTGGATAATTGCACAGTAAAATATGCCAGGCAAATTCTGACAAATTCCTACAAAGGATTATGCAGTATACACTGTTATTGATACACTAATGGAGATTTTTATTTTAATGATAGCATTCAACTTCTTTCTTAGCTTCTAAAATTATTTGGTTGTCATGGACAATGCCTTAGGTTTCCTTGCACCCATGCAATATTTTAAGTCAAAAGACTCTTAAAAGAAAGATTAAAGCTAATTAAGATTACATTCCAAGGAATAAATAAATAAATCAGAAGACCAGTTCTTATGTATTTTATGAGAGCACTATCCAATACATATGAATTAAACCATGACAATCATTATGGCAAGAAAGAAAACTACCAACAACAACAAAAATAACAGACTGCTAGTTCTACCACACTATTTTCCATTTTTGGCAGTGCCTTTAACAACCGTGGTTTTTATTTTTCTGATTTTCCATTGTTAGTGGTCTCAAATCACTTTTCTTAAAGTTATGTGATTCATGTATTTTTTTAAGGCTAAAGACAGTTATACATGTTTATTCTTACCTTCTGTAAAGCACAGGGTGAAATGTCACTTCATTTGAATTACTTCATCAAGATCATGACTTTCATTTTTGTGACAATGAGAATGTCACAAAAAGTACATTCATAAAGACCCATCAACATGGGTCTTTTAGCAAGGTTCCTGACACAGTCTCCCACAATATCTTTGAGGACATGCTGGTACTGAACAGATGGAGCTCCTACAGGTGAAGGACTGGTTTAAGGAGTTGAGCTTGATATGCGGTGCCTGCGGCCAAATTGGCATCTGGGCATGAGTGGAGTGCCTCACAGGTCTGAACTGGATCTGATACTGTTCAATATCTTGATATGCTGTTTGGAAAATGGTATTGAAAGTGTCCTCACCAAGTTTGTGGTAGGACAAATAGGTACACTGGAATGAGCTACCATTCAAAGAGACCTCAAGAGGCTAAAGAGTTGGGCTAATGAGAATTGTTTGAGACTTAACAAAGATAAATATAAAGCCTGTCCTGGGACAGAGTAATCCCAGGCATCAGGGAATACAGGGTTGGAAACTGACTGGCAGGAGTGTGTCTTGGCACTTTGCAGGTCATACCAGGAATGAGGTGTTCCATTTTAGTCCTCCAAATGATCAGAGGTGATCAAAGGGTTGGAGATCTTAACTTACAAAGTAAGATTTGGAAAATCTTCAACCAGATTTCAGATTTCAACCCAGAGAAAGGAAGGCTTACACAGAATTCTATTACATTCTTTCATTACCCAAAGAGAAAGTTAGAGATAATTTGAAGGTACACTTGATTAGGATGCATGCTGACAGAATAAGAGGCAATGGAACAAGAGGCAGGAAAAGTAAAAAAAAGAAGGAAAAGGAAGGAAAATTCTGTGTGAATATAAATATATATATATGTTCTATGCATTGGAATAGGTAGCCTGAGAAGCAGTGGAATCTGCTCACTGGAAATATTTAAGACAGTTTGACAAAGCCTTGGATAAACTAATCTAAGGTTCTGCATTCAATTAGAAAAGCAGATCTCTTCTAATAAGAGGAAAGGATCTCTAGAGGTCCCCTCCAATTTTGAATTTCCATTGATTTCTGTGATTCGCCAGTATACATGTAAAGTTACATATAGTAATAAATATTTCCAGAGTTTGCAAATTATGATGTTAAGCAATGAGATTTTTCTTTTTCTCAATAAAACAAACACATACATTATTTCCTGTTTGAAACAAATAAAAAACATTGTGAATTTATGAAGTTTATACTTCAAACCAAAGACAAGACTACT